ACCACACCCTGTCCCATTTCTTCCCCAAGGAACTCACATGCAGGAGTGAGTACACCCTCAGCCACCACCCGCATGTCAAAACTCCTCCTCCACACTTCTTCCAAACCCAACTGCTGCCTTTTAGGCTACTCTTTGGGCCTAAGGGTGTGAATTCCTGCAGCACATCCAGGAAAGAGGTCTGTACCGGCCCTGGAACAGGGTTCAGAACTATTGGGCAGAGAATGTAGGGGGTCTAGTAGATGCATTGTGGTCTGGAGCAGGCACCACAGCTACCCTTTGGCCCCATCGGCTCCTCACCTCCTGGAGCAGAGAGCACAGTTGGAGGAAGATAAGGCTAGAGTTCTCTTAAAGCAAAAAGTTCAGGTAAAGGACCTCTCTTGCCCTAAGGGTGGGAATGCTCTAGTCATATCATTTAACTTTGAGCAAAAGTAGAAGCAGTCTCCTTCAATAACTGGTCACCTGCCTATCATTTTCCTGACAGAGCTATCAGATGAATCTGTCGACCAACAGATTTATTTCCTTTTTGGTTCTGCTGGATCCAACATTTCCCATACTTACTGATTATTCAGTTGGATAGAAAAAGGACTCAGCCAAGTGAAGGGCAATCAGCCTACCCAGATCATATGCAGCTTGGGTCCCAAGTGGCTCCAGGTTGGTAGAATTACATGAGTTTATTCCTTCCCACCCAAGAGCACAGGCAATTATTTGCCTTTATGTTCAATACTCCAGTACAGACACACCTGAAGAACCGGAAAAATAAACCTGTATAGCCAGAAGGACTCACTTCCTCTGTGATGGTATCTGCAGCTGACTTCATGATCCCTTCAAAGAAGAAGGACCTGCTATCTCCCATTCCTATCTTGTAGATTTCCTTAGCAAACGGACTGAAGTGCTAGGTCCTGAGGCTTCATTCTAAAGAGACCACTGCTATTATGCACGACTGCTCTTTTCAACAATGAAACATCCATTTTCACTGATTGGGCCCAAACCTCTGTCCCAACACACAAAACAGCCCCGGGCAAAGCTAGTCAAGAAAGAACAGGAGAATGGAGAGTGTGGGGGAGTTAGGAGAGGGACTAGTTGCTTGAACACAGCTCCTTGGTGCTGCATACCACAGCATGCTCATCTTTTGAAAAGCATTCGACATGCTGGGTACAAGTGACCCCTTGGACGCGTTCACCTGAGAAGTCTGGGCGAGAGACTCTCGGGAAAAGCTCCCTGTCCTCCTCAGTCACAACTACGCCTCACTGGGATTGTTTTGTGTGGGTCCTTCCTCAGCCACTGTTGCTGCAACTCTGTACTTTTCTGACTGAGTCTGTCAGGAAGGAGACAGGAAATTCTAGTCACCCGCACAGCAGCTGCGCCATTCCTCCTATCCTCCTCCAATGACGTCGGTTGGCTTTGGTGACATGAGGTCAGGAACTGAGCCACAGTGAAGGTCAGGAAGATAGGTCAGTGTTTATGCCGTCGTTGGGCTGGGGATCCTGCTGAGGCTATTTGCTTTCTTCCTTGCTATACTGTTTCTCTTTCCGTTCCTCTTTTTTATAATGCGGAGCCAAAGCATCCTGTTTTGAAAACATCTGACTGTTTTGCCACCGAGGAACTCATGCTCTGATGCAGTTCGCTGAAGTGTAAGACAATTCTTCTAATTCGGGAGGCGATAAAAGTTGAAGCAAAAATTAATGAACAAGTCTCAGAAGCCAATCTGTCGTTATAGAAAACAGTTCTAACACGTCTAACTGAACTTGGGCTGCTGGCAGGAAGGTTCACTTGACATCCTTTTCATTTGAAAAACAATGTCACTGCCTCATAACACGGCTTCATTTATTTCGTCTCGTAATTCGGGGCGGGGGGGGGTGGGCAGAAATAACCTACACTACTGAGCCACCTGGCTGCATCGTTCTCTATAATCCTGGAATTCCATTTGGCCTATGGCCAGCGTTCAAGGGATAGGGGAAATCGGGCCCAAGGAGGAGACCACGTTTCTATAGGTCACAGAAACAGTTCCTTATCTAACTCTCAGGCTCTAAAGCACACTTGGGAAAGTTGGTTATAATCTTTGAATCACAATTTTCTTTAAAATATAAGAGGGTTAAGAAAAACACTAAACACACAACCCTCCCAAGATGTGCTACATATGAAAGACTGCTTCCTTTTCCTCGGCTAGGCACAGTCACCCCTCTACCATTTGCAGGTTCCCAAACACACCCTGCGCCAAGCACTGGCTTTCCCATCACCATTGTTGAGTAGGTGAAAACTCAGTAAATCACTTAGCTGATCAAACTAAGGACACACAATTTTTGCAAAGATGTAGCAGATGCTATTAATAAGTCATCATTCATTGAATCTTTACAACCCAGCAGGTGCCTTGCTGAGTATTTTAGATGCATTATCTCATTTAATCTTCACAGTGACCCAGTAAGGTAGGTACCACTTTTATCCCTATTTTCCAGATAAGAAAATAGTCTTAGAAGAGTTAAGTAAGTTAGCCAAGGTCAAGTAGGTAGTAAATGATAGAGATAGGATGTGATCTTTTGACTCTAAAGACCATGCTTTTCACATACTTCCTGTACAGAACATCTTCAGACTCCTTCCAAATCTGTAACTCAGATCTGCCATGGCTCTTTTGTTCAGTGAGGAGAAGAAAAAGATGATTAGATACAACTACCTAGTAGCGACAATGGTGATGGTGCTGATGACGATGATTATATTTTTTAAACACTGACTTGGGTGGAATGTTCACATAATTTCAACAAGATTTATGATTAAATGTGGGACTTTATTTTTTACCATAAACAATTAAGTTCCCCCAAAACTGACAGTGATCAATTTCTTTTTGGTGGCCACAAAAATATTTTCGTGGCCATGGGTTAAGTTTTACCTGAGACAATTATCTGGATAATCAAGATTTGGGGGTAACATGATTGCTAAGTAAAAAGAGAAAGAGATCTTTTTACAAATGAAATTGACTTTAGCTGTCAGCTGAGCACTATTTATCCACTGGATAATTGCTTTGCCCTACAACCTTTCCACCGCAGATGTAGAAAATAGGTACATGCCTTCTACGTAAGCTAACTATGCCAGCATTAAGGTTTAGCCCTTTCCTTGGGGTTAGCTCTATTCGACTTTCATTGCTTCCTGCACAGGACACCATAAAGGAGGAGCGGAAGCCCGAAGTGATTGGCATTCTTACCAGGTCCTACACAGTCCTTGGTCTCAGAGCCTTAATGACCCTTACACGGAATGTGAAACATTTTTTAAAATAAATTTGCAAAACAGACAATGTGTCATTTCAGCAGTCCAAATCCAAACCTTGTTAGAATCTATGAGGCATCAACAATCAAAATGAAAAATAATGACAATTTGCAGTTTTTCAATGAGTATTATTTTTCTCCCCTGGAGTTAGTTGGCTTTCTCTTAGCAACTCAAGAAGAAAGTTCAGCATGTCTTTTATGGTGAAACCTGCTGAAAAACTACCTCAGATATTGGATCTACAACTCGTATGGGTATCAATGCTCACAGCACACAGTAAATAGAGGATCTGTTAATGCTCCAAAGTAGGCTAAAGCATGTGCGCAAATCTTTCTACTTGGAATCCAGTGTGGATTGGAGAAGTTACGCAGTTAAGCCCTCCTCATAGGGAAGCAGTTGGTTGAGATTTGCAACAGCCTGGAAAATCCCAGATTTTGGCTCTCATTTAAGAACTTCAGAAAAACGTCAGTCAGTAGTTAAATCTCAAAAGTTTTTTTTTTTTCCAACTTGAATCTAAACTAAAATTTGGGAAAGAGGCTTACTTCATTTTTTGCCCTTTCATTAACCAATAAACAATAGTAAAAAGAGTCCATTCTCCCCCCACCCCAGCCCCCTTCAAAACCTCTAAGGACTCAATGCTCCCTCTGCTCAGACCCTTTGAACAGGAGCCAGTAAGCCTTGATCGGAAGGTGCTACTTTTAACCCTAGTAAAGAGGGAGTAGGGACACACATTCCCTAGCGAACCTCAGGGCTGGAAAGGGCATGTTGGCAGGTGTGGAGCAAAGCTCTTCCCGGACCCAGAACCTTAAGACAGTAAGACAATACCTAAGGCTAGGATGGTTGGGGGTTTTCCATTAAAAACAACAGCAGTAAGTATACACACACACATCATATATATTTATAAAGTTAGCATTCTCCAAGTTGGGGGTGGAGACAAACAAAAAGCAGCAACTCTCACTACATAAATTAGCACTCTAAATCCAGCTGTTAATCAAACAAATGATATAATGATAGATAATTAAAACCCTTCCACATTAAGTTTTGTCTGGGAATCGTAAACAAAACTATTGTTTTGAAGTATGGTGGAACTTTTTTCAAGTAATTCTTCGAAAAGCAGCAAACTTTTAAAAAAAATAACTTTCTTTTGTTGGAGATAAAGTATATGTTGTTTCCTTTAAAAAAAAAATCTTGGGTCATGGCAGCATCACAAAAGAAATATTCGAAAATCCCAGAATGTCCTTCGGAGAAAAATTTCAGAATTTCTAAAGCTTCAGGGCTAACCATTCTCTCCACTGATATACTGAGGTCACGTTATTGTTCAAAAGATAATAATAACAATAGGTCTAACACCTGATTGCAATGCAACGTGTGGTCCATTTCACCCTATGAATTCATTCAGAGGCTATCTACCTGACAGTTGTCTTTAAAAAAAAAAAAGGACCTTTCAATTTTGCACAGTGATTCGTGAGCTTTAGAAGCACCTCTCCCCTTAGACATATTCTGAACTACATCAATTAACACGAGTTTGGTTTCTGGGAACGAAGGGGGGTTTAGCTTTTGCCCTAGCATCGAGGCACAAGCAGAGTGTGGCAGCCGGGGCCGGAATCCTCGGAGGCAGCCGTGCAAACCCGCGTCCCCGGCGGCGTCCTCGGATGCACCCGCGCTGCAGGCCGCGGCCGGGGCGCCCCGGGAAGCGCGGGGGGCGCCGCGGGGGGCGCGAGGCAGCCAGGCGCCCGCGGGCCTCTTACCTTGTTAGAAGCCATCTCACTGACGGAGCGGTAGGTCTGGATGGTCTCGAGCTGGTCTAGGCACCAGTCCAATTCCTCCAGCGTTTCCATTGCTAATTTTTGATAAGATTCTTCTGCAAACAAACACACGGGCATGTAGTTAGGCTGGAGCGGCTGCAGGCTGTCCATCGCCGCGGCCCCGCTGCCGCCGCAGACCCCGGAGCTACTGAAGGTCGCCCCGAGCTCCTTCATGATTCGCGCGCCGACTCCTGCCTTCCAGCTCCCTCCACCGGGAGAGCAAATCACCGCGGCGCTCCGCCTGCGACGGCTGGTGCCAGGGCTTCGCCGCCGCCGCCGCCGCCACCCCCAGCACCCGCCCCCCCCCCCCCCCCGCGGGGATGAGGTGTCCGCGATCTACCAAGAAACTTCCTCCGAGGAAGAAGGCGGGGAACCATCTCTCAGAGGCTCATCTGCATACATGTGTCCCAAAACTAAAGGCAGAAGCAGTGAGTTTTCTCAGGCTCTCTCTGCCTTAGTCATCCTGGGGCTCTTTAGGGTGCGTGATGTCATTTCTGAGCGTTTGCAGGCTAGAGGAGAAATGAGAAAAGCCTTTTCTCATTTTTGCTTTTCTTCTAAATGAAACGCAGGGGGGAAGACTGGGAGGGTGGCGCGGGGTGGGGGCCCTGACAGTCAACGTTGGGAGGCGAGGCAGTCAGCCACTCATTCCTGGGAATGTGCACACAGTGGAGTGACTTTTAATTCAGCAAACACCGACCCCCAGGAGCTGGAGGTGGTGGCTCTTCCTCCGCTCTCCTGACTCTCTCCCTTAAGGAAAGGCAAAATGAAGTTTCCCTGATAAGACTTGGGTCTGAGAATAATAGTGAAAGGGAATAGAAGGGAAGGGAGAAGAAATGGGTGGGAAATATCAGAAAGGGAGACGGAACATAAAGACTCCTAACTCTGGGAAACGAACTAGGGGTGGTGGAGGGGGAGGAGGGCGGGGGGTGGGGGTGAATGGGTGACGGGCACCGAGGGGGACACTTGACGGGATGAGCACTGGGTGTTATTCTGTATGTTGGCAAATCGAACACCAATAAAAATTAATTTATTAAAAAAAAAGACTTGGGTCTGAGAGAAACTGGAGTTTTTTACACGTTTATGGGCCACAGTAGGTAGGCAGCTCTTGTTATACTAAACAAAGCTAAAACTTCTCTTCTCCAACTGTCAGGATCACTGGGAAATTCTGAACCGGACTTTCAGGTGGAGCCAGATGGGGACACTGCAGAATTTCACTTTGATTAAAGTGGGGTGCTCTGGTTTGTGGTTACAGAACTCTATAGACTTTCTAGAAATGTTTCTTAATGGTCCATTCAAAAAATATTATTTTTAAGATCATTTTTTTTTTGCTGGGTGATAATAAAGTTCTTTCTGAATGGTCACAATATATCAATTCCATACTCAAACACTGAGGAGTCTGAACTAATACTCAGAAATATTGACTTAAGATCTCTATGCTAGTAAACTCTAAATTAACTTAATAGATAGATGCTGGATGAATTAACGGTGCTACAGATGGTTATAAAAAGTCAGACTCTCCTGCAACCATGACTGATTTTGAAAGAAACAACATTCATTAATTCTACCAATCTTTCTGGAATGCAAGCACATAATAGGCACTAATAAAATCAAAAGTCTTGTTTGGAATTCTCCTAGAGAGATTACATACATCCCTGTCAAATTTAGAATACATTTTTCCTATGTTCATACAGAAGTCTGAAGGAGACCACATACCCTTTTATCATTATTTGAAATTTTGTGTGTGTGGCACTCATACTTGAACCCGAAGAAAAGAGAATAAGCACAACAGACTCTAAGAGACTGAGATCACTTGACCACAGATGCACATTTCAAAGAATAGATGTTTTATGTATTCCTCGAATATGCATACACCTCAGGGTAGCTTGGGGTTAACATTCAATATCCTGTATGTCATACTTAAAAAGCCCCAAAACCGCTAGAGGTGTCTTCCTCTATTTTTTTCACACTCCTCAACAATGTGCAGACAAGAACTGAGGTGTTTAGAGTAAAACTCATTTCAAGCCAGACTTACACATATCTTCTCCTTTCCTCCTCAGTTTTGCTCAGTTGCCTCAACTTGCGGAATCTCCTCACCCCCTAGTGTGTCCAAAACACTCTCTTATTTCCTCTAGTTCCCTCCAGAGGAGCACTTCTTCCAAGGAAGCTTTTCCTGAAGTGCCCAAACCTCTTCTATCCCATTCCCAGCCTCTCATCAAAGGAAAAGTCCCACTACTTCCCAACTACTTGGACTTTACCACCTTGCTGTCCATATCACCCTGTGGTTCTCTGGTACCTGGGATGCTCAGGGCTTTTGAATTGGTTGATATGCAAAATGACTGTAAGATCATCTATCACAGTTCTCCTTCTTGGAGAGGGAAAAAAAGGGATCCAATTTCCACTCAGGGTTGACAAAAGAACTACAATAATTATAGCAGCAGAAGCACTAGAAAGAGGGAGGACTTTTCAAAAATCCACAATTAAGGGTTACCTGCCCAGCTCATTCCCGGTCTGTGACCCAGAACAAGGACACGTGAGCTCCTAGAATTAGTATAGTAGTGATTTGCCAGTGACCAGCCAGTGAATGTGACAGGCCCTTCCTCTCCACTGCCCTTTCTTATTCTGGTCAGCTACAATATTCTTTAATTCAAAGTTTTTTGAAGTTAATGTGGAAGTTAATGACGATTTGTTCCTTTTCAGATTCTTGATCTATAGTCAAGACTTTGTGTCCCATTTTAGACCCTTCTTATCACAGAGACTAAAGTGGGAGGCACAGATGTCAGAGTGGGCTGAGTATATGGGCATCAAACCCCTGCTACTTCTGGGTAGTACAGCCAAAAGAAAGGACGGATGCTGCTCAGGAACTTCCTGGCTCCAGCACCAGCGCCAGATCTGGTACCTACCAGATACTCAGTAAATACGCAGAGGAATGGAGACCAAAGTGCCTGCCCAAGTAGCCTGCAAATACTTGGATATCTAGAGGCTGAATGGTGCATCTGTAGTAGTGTGGCTAGCGCACCAGTTCTGGAGTGAGACTCAAGCATTTTGAGTTTCTCTTCTACTGCTTACTGTGTGATGCCCGACCTCAACTTCCTACATCTTAAAATAAGGATAAGAATACTTATCTCATGAAGTTATAAAGGGACTAGAGAGAAAGCATTAAAGCTTCTGGTATGGTAGCCAGTTCTCAGTAGATGATCAATCCAGAGAAGCATAACTCTTAATAGTAATCAAAGTAACCCAGGGCCTGGAATTTGGGAGTAGTGAGGGATAGGAAGGGAGATAGAGGACTTGTGTAGTCCACAAAGGGTGGAGCTACATAATTCGTGGGGTCCAGTGCAAAATGAAAATGCAGGGCCTCTTATTCAAACAGCAGGAAAAGTGCTGTTGAAAGTAGTAAAGTATGAAACTCTCTTTTTTTTTCTTCTGGAATCTCTCTCTCTCTCTCTCTCTCAACCTGTCATACTGGTATTTTTTGGGTTTTGTCTAAGCTTTTTATTTTAGGATAGCTCTAGATTTACAGAAAAGCTGAAAAGCTAATATAGAGAATTCCTAGATAACCCATGTTTAGGTTTCCCTATTGTTGACATCTTACATTATTATGACACATTTATCACAATTCATCAATGGCATGGTGTTTTATTTACTCTCTAATACTGTGTTCCCTCAGGCATAAGGATATCACAAGGAGAGTGCAGACCCTCACAGGACCCCAGCCCCTACATCCGGTGACTGAGGGCAATACACAGTTCACATGTTACAAGGCTACCCTTATCTGCCAGCTGCCAAACTCATCTCCTGTACCCCAGCCAGGGCCAGGCTCTGGGGAAGTCAGACATTTCCCTTCCTCACCGTACCGATGCACCACTCCACAGCAGATAGGTGGCCCCTAAGGATGCCACAAGTTTGGCATGGGGCATACTAGACACCCAGATCAGAGGTGGACAAGAGGCTCACTCCCACCAAGACATGTCCTGGTCTACCATGGTACTGCCATGCCAGCCCAGGCTAAGAATGGCTGCGACCATGCCCCATCTGAAACTTTGCAAGGCACACATGCCCAACTCAGATCCTTTCTGCACCTGCACCCTGAGGCCCCTCTGGGAATGGATGGCAAGGATGAGGGATGCTGGATGAGTTCTAGGGTGCCAGGGATCAAGGAAATGGGTGGCTGATAACATGTCCAGGGGAGGCAGGCAAGTGGCAGGAAAAAGGTGGGACAGCCTAAGAACCAAGGCTCCAAGCCACTGGAGTAAGTATATTCTATTTTACCCTCAGATTTCACTTACAAAACATAAGATCAAAGATAAAATTATTATAAGTTTCAAGATATCAACTATGGGGCCCTGCTGGATATGGGCACTATGCATCTTGCACAGGTTGCATGACCATGAAGCTGGTCATTTCCTGTCTTACAAAAAAAATGGCTCTGAGAATGAACAATGCTTAATATCACAGAAGTAAGTCTCAAGGGGATGGGAGCAAGTGATGGGACCATGTATGGTCATGGGATTGACCCTATTTATCACAAATTTCCAGAGGGACAGGGAAAACCAAACTCCCATGTGTTCTTCTCTCTAACAAGAGTGGCAAAGAGAGATTTACTTCCTCTTGTAGGTCTGGTAGGAATCGCATTTGACCCTGATAAACAGGAAGAAAGAATGGATAAATAATTATAGTTAATATTAATCTGATAATAATATGTGGCATTCATAAATCCCTCTCCTCAAAGGAGCTCCAAGGACACTACTCATTTATCCTTGCAACATCTCTGTGGTAGCCACAGGTATGAAGAAGAGGTATGATTATCTCTAATTTACCTTAAGGCACAAGCCAAGAAGTCAGAGGTTAAATTACTGGAGCAGGATTCCTGGCAAGACCATATCTTGGTCTCTTAACTAAAGGATTCAGCTCCACACTGAAAATGCACGAATCCCTGAAAATGCTGATTTAGGGTGGCATCTTCCCCTTGGGTATTTTCTGTTTAAAATTGTGTAATTGCTTTCTTAAATGTTGTCACCTTCTGGAGTCTCCTCTTCCCTTTTCTGATGTATCTAACGCGCAAGGAGACTGTGTGGTATTTACTCAGAAGACCTGGT